TCCAAGGAGAAATATCTATTCTGGTTCTTAGTACGTGACATGATCAATTAGATACATGTTTCATGTTTAATGTGTCACACGAGCTGGTTATTATGTCACGTCTCGGTTCATAATATTATTAAACAGAAAAGGCAAGAAAGACCAACAATGGAGGTGTTTTATCTAGTTCTTAATGATGCTACTACGCATTGCATACAAGGGAGTTGTAATGTCACATTTATTTATAGCTATAACAACCAAATGGAAAATGCTATTTGTAGGAGGAATGGGAAGAGTAGTTCAACATTTACATTCCACAACGAACATAGATGGAGGACCAAGTCTTGCAATTTGAATCCAAACTATTCACTAATGTGAGTCATTTTGTATTTTGTATTATGAATTGTAGTATATTTTAGATTTGATGTTTTCATTTTTTTTATTGGGAAATGTGATTTTTGCTGTGCATGTTCTAGAGTTGGAAATGCGACCCAAATCTTACCTACAACTCATTTTCTTTTATTTTCAATGATGGGCTTGCCAATGCCAACTTCAAACCCATATATTGAGGTCACATGTCATCTGTCAACCTTACTCTACTCAAATCCAATTCATAATTTGTTTCCCAGTTTGGCCCATACATTAATTAATACTCTTGTAATGCTGACACTTTCTATTTCTTCTGGTCCACAAAAGTGATGGCCCCTCTAAAAAGTTTGAAGTAGCCAACTTTTGAGCTTTATAGGACAAAAAATATATGCTGTAAAATCTTTTTATGTTATCATTTAATTACAAACTCTTTGAGTACAGTTAATTTATTAATTTTAATAACAATCACTATAAAAGTCACCTTAAAACTCATTTTTAATTAACACCGTAACGGAATTTCATGTTTAAGTTGAATACTGAATTCTGGTCTTTAATTAAAAGTTATAAATATCAAATCACCTGTGATAACCATCTATATATTAATACTGACATTGTATTTAAAAAAAAAATTCTTGTAAAAAATTTTCCAACTCTGACAGATATCTCATTGGTAACGTTTCTGATAGAAGAGTTTTTTTTTTGCTTTTTCAGTCTTGGTTAAGCATATATACACTCCTTTTTTCTATAATTACATCTCCTTTAAAAAAAAAATAATTAAAATTTTAAAATATTTTAAATTTTTTGTTTTAAATTTTTTAATTTTACATCTATAACGTCTAATTTAGTATTTTTTTTTTCACATATCTTTCCTCCTTTTTTCAATTTTTACACGCACCCCTTTATTTTTCCTTCACCCCGCCTATTTTGGTAGCATGTGAAAATTGAAAGAGAAAAAAAAAAGTGTGTGAATAAGATGAAGAAAGTAGCAAATTGAAAGTTGAAAGTGTAAAATTAAATTTTTTAAAAAACATTATAATATTTTATAATTTTTTTTTTAAAAGAAGGAGGTGTATATATCATGAGCCTTCAGTCTTCTAGGGTGGTGACTAACATCTCATTGGGCTAGGATTTTCTGGTTTGGGCTTTTTTTTTTGTCTCATATCAATACATGAAAAAAAATAAATAAAAGAACTCTGTTGTATTTTCCTCATTGTTATTTGTACATCAATATGACAACAGAATTTGATCTATAAGAATAGTTAGTTTACTAAAAGTATAATTAATTGTTATTATTTTGTTAGGAATAATTGTTAACTCTAATATATACTATTATATATAAACAAAAAATTAAAAAATCTCATAACTGTTTTTTAGTCACTACTTTTACTAGACTATTATATCCTTAAAAATATTACAAACTTCTTAATTAGTTCTCTTCTTTTATATATTTTGTTGGTTTCTTCTGTGAATTAGTTTTATACTAAAGGAAGTTTTTTACTCAATTATTTATTCATTTTTTGTATTTTTTATCCATTTTTTGAAATCATTATTATATCATGTAACTACTTAAATCACTCTCTATTTTTATTTTATTTTTTAAATAGTTATATAGAGTCACTTAGTACCTCTTCCCTTGTAAATTATTAATATAAATAGAATATCTATATACTTGTGTGGTGTCTTTTTTAAATCAGTTCAATGAGATACTTATATGGAATTTCTAGCGTAATCCTCGAAATTTATAATATTTCCCACATAAAATGCTTTACTCGTATCTATTATCATCTTTTTTTTATATCGTTTTTAGAATTATATACTAAACTACTTTCAAACATTCAAATTTTTAGTTTTTTACATTCTCTCATCGCCATAAAACTCTTATTGGAGTTGCTGAATTTGCTCGTCTCTATTTTTCGTTCACATTTTTAAAATTGGTTAGTAAGTTAAAAAATGGCTTAATTTCTCCTAAAAAAATATTATTATCAAGTTTTTTTTGCTTATTTATTTATTATGAAATATTTCCAACTACAACATAATTTAATGAGAAGAGAATATATTTGTATAACAAATTGTATAATTAAGAGAGAAAAAAATAAAATATAATAAATGATGTGGTTGAGAGATATAAAAGAAAAATATTGTAAAAAAAGTTGTTGTACGAATTGTTATATGTTTATGACGTCTCTTTAAGAGTTTGGGGGTGAATTTCAATCAACAAGGTTTTGGTAAGAATGTTATTTAGTTTTTAAATTTGAGAAATGTTATTTGTACAATAACTAATATAAAAAAAAATTATACAACTAAGAAAGAGATCCAAAAAGAAAAAAAGAAGAGAAATACAAAATGACTTATATAAATTATAGTATGAGTAACATAACTATTTAAATGTGGTACAATCCACTTGACAATTCTTTGATTCAATCCTCATTCTTATAAAGAAAATACGTTTTAATTTTATTTCTCTCTTTATAATTGGCACTTTTATATTTATCAACACTTTGATGAATTAATATAGAGTTGATTCAACTTAATTAGTTATCTTGAATTTGAGTTCATAATATATAACTATATTAAATATTTTGAAAGAAAATCTTATTGTTCATAATGATTTTATCATATTCAAACAAAATTATCTCTAATAAAAAATATTCGTATGATCAGTTCTACTCCTTCAAAAATTTTAACCAAGATTCCATTTCTTTGGCTCCTTACCGTAGGAAGAAGAAATAAGAAATTTCACTTTGAAAGTTCTAGTTAATTTTACCTTCCATCAAGTCCTAATTAATGTTCCTTGAAGCTATTATATATTCTCAAGTAAAGAATTTGCTTGTTGAATGACTTGTACCAAAGTAAATCAGCCATCACAAGAAATTTCAAAATAGCAAAGATCGGTTATGCTTAGTTTCAATTTCAAACCTCTACACTTTCGCTGTTTCTTCCTAGAATTAATTTTTGTGATGTAAAGCTTCACATTCACATCTTAGACACTTGAAAATCATTAACCTGTTCCACTACGCCTCCTAGAAGTTCCTTGACACAATTTTGTACTAGTCATGATTATATTTTCCACTAATTAAATTATTGTTACTTCTTTTGGAAGTGTTATTAGAAAAAGAAAATGAAAAAAAAAAAATCATTCAATTATAACAGTGACAATAAAGAAAAGCATGTGTAAAGTGGCACATGTGCTTTGACCCATTGATGGCTTACAAGTCTTGATAATTAAACATGGTTGAATTCTCTTTGCCTAGCTAGTCATATTTAGACCCCAAAAACGTTATGAAATTCATTTTTTCTGTGGAAGAATTTTAGATGCATATTAAGTTCAATAGAGCAGTTGTATAACGTAATGTTAAATTTGCCAAATTTTTTTAATTAGGACAATTTTGGTAAAGAAAAAGAGTATCGTCCATCCAAGATTTGTGCACCTCATGTTCATAAAGTCAATGTGGTTAACTACACGTAAATATATGATTAATTTTGCTTTATAAATACTTAAAAACAAATTAACATAATTTCGCGTAATTAATATTATTGATATGATTAATAGTATCATGAAGTTATTTGAAAAAGAATGTTAATACGTACGAAATGATCTCTTCGTAAATATGCATGAAATTCGTGTTTTCTGTCTAATTGAATTTTACACATTCTTAATTTTTTTATTTAAAAAATATTGTAAAAAAGTTATTGGCCCACGTAAAAATTCATGTATTTCGTACTGTATTTCATTCATACCAAATAGCACTGCGGGTTATAAAATGTCAAATAATGGATAGTTTTGGCTATAGTTAATAGTGTTATAGGATTATTAATTGTCATATGATTTACTATGTGTAAAAATTAGTTAATTTTGTCAGATTATTAATAAATAACCTGTTATAAAAATCAATATCAAACCATAAATTGTGATATAAAAGCTATAGATAAGAAAGAGAGAAAAAAATATAGAAGGACAACATAAAAGAGAGAGTAATAATTAAGGTGAAATATAAATAATAATTATAGACATCTACTATTAAATATTCATAACATAAATATGATTATATATAACTATTAACCAGTGGTTAATTGCAGTGTGAAGTTATTGAAATGTGGTCCATTTGTCTCGTAAGTGGTTAATATGATATCATGTTATTAAAATATCTGATAATAAGTACCTTGGCATTATAAGTTGTCCATCAATAATTATTATATTATTATATTCATTTATTTTTAAGTGAAATAAAATTAATTACACATTAATTTATACATAGTTAATCATTATTTTAGAAGAAAGTAAGGTAACAATAATAATTATTAATACGTTTCATATCATTAAAATAAAAAAAATAAAATTTTTTTATAAAACACGTATATACTTTATTAGTTAAATACATTTTAGATAATGATTATAAACAAAATTATAAAATTAAAAGTTTAAAGTAAATAATAGCTTACAAATTGATATCAAAGTTTTATATTCATATTTATTAAAAGTCTTTTAATTGATGATTAAAAATAAAATTCAAATAATAATAAAATATAACTCTTCTCTTAATATAAATAAATTCTCTCAAAAAATACACAAACATAACTCTAACAAGAATCTCACATTAATCAATGCACTTTTGGTAATTATATTGAATTTAGAAAAAATTCAGAAATGGTAACATCTTCATTTTGACATTTGAAGAACGGCAAATTACTAACCGTATACTGATTAATTAATCCACCTCAATGACCTCATGGATCTGGTTAATCATTTTATTAATATTGGAAACTTATGTTATAAAAATGAAGTATTACAAAAGGTATGGAACCTCCGATAGGCTAGTATTCCCTTTGAACGGAAACTCATTTGATAGTGTTGTCGGCAAATTCTACAACAACTTGTTCGTGTGAAGTTCCTATATTAAATTTCACTCAGTTTTATATAAACAAACTGGAAAAAGTATGTCATCTATCGGTTCCATTTCATTCTATTACCGTATACTGTGTGGTTCAGTCAACCTAAATCTTCTAAATCTATAGCAATGTTTAGTATACGGGACTATGGTTTAATTATGTCGGTCCAAAGAAATAAATATAGCTCACAACCAAGGTATGCACAATTCCCTCTTGAGTCAAGAATCTAGACCAAACTTTTTGGCCACCACCTTCAAACCTTCTTCAACTTGCCCCACTTTGATCCACCGTGACAAAAACATTGGCATCCACTGCTTCATTTGTTTCAATCACAACACGATTCTCAGACACGTTCCTTAGAGCATGATTGGGGAAGGTGCTACCTGTGGAGCTTAAAGAGTACTGAACATTTTTTATAAGGTTAGGAAAAAGCAAAACATTGTTAAAATCAACGGTCCATGAGGTTCCATTCCCTTGCATGGATTTTTTTGCTACTGTGGCCTTTATATTCATCCCCCTTGCAATGTTTCTGTCAACAATAACTTGATCAATTTGTTGGAAAGGACCATTTGATTGGTCCAGCTGAACAATCTCAACCCCATGATTTGAACCTGAGAACATGTTATCAACAATATTAACACCATTCACCACCCCATTTTTGGACTTTAGGACAATGTTGGCATCACCAAGGAAGAAACTGCTAGAGATATGAAGTTGAACCGGGTCTTCTGCCACAATGCTAGTGAAATCCATGTAAGAATTCACAATCCAGGTTTGTGTCAAACCTGGTAGTTTCAAGTAAATTCCAGTGCCACCAAAGCCAGTGGCCTTATTGTAACAATGTACACCAGAAAAAGAATTGGCCTCACCAGTTACCATTATTCCAACTTCAGCAGAGAAAATTACAACATCTGTGACAACATTGTCATTTCCCTGGAGGTTTATTCCTGTGCCTGAGAAGTCTCTCTCATGTTTGTCCCCACCTGCAGTTATGTGCTGACCAAGGAAAGTGTTCCTAATGTAGGTTTCATGACCACTTTGGACTAAAATTCCATTGGTGGTGAAATGTGTGATGTAACAGTTGTCTATGTTGATCCTAAGTGAGTTTATGACTGAAATGCCTCCACCCCTGAAGCTTGAATCCAACAAGAGGTCCTTGAGAGTTATGAACTCAAAATTGTAGGATGATTTGTCTCCTCCATTGAAAGAGGTTGACAAATCAATGAGATAGCCATCTGATGGAAAACTATCTGAGGCTCTTATAGTTCCCCCATGTATCTGTTTTTCATCAAAATACAAACAAAAGTCAAATTGAGATGTCAAAAGTTTCGAGTTCTTTTGAATGCCTTGTTGAGTAAACAAATAGAAAGTGCAATTTGCCTTGACTTTTCTGAAATTTTGGATGTAATGAGTATTGGTTACAATTTATTAAAAAAAAAAAATCAATTCAGAAAAGAACAAAAAGTAGTGACAGAAAAGGAACGGTTGAAGAAGGAAAATGTTTTTCTACAATGTTAATATCAATAGTGTTATTTTCTTGGTCAGGTTAGACCAACTGCTTTACCATCATGACCAAAATATGGACCACCGGCCTCAAAAATTAAATTTGGCCCAGTGATAAAGTCTTACAATGGACTAACAAAGTGCCAATTGGAAAATAATAATGAACAATAACTTCGGAAGATAGTTTTCATATTGTACATTAACCAATACCTTAAATGATAGTTATTTGTCAGAAAAAGTTGTTCGTGAATAAAGTTAACATTAACAACTAGAACAGTTTCTGCAGGCATACCATAAGGTTTCCTACTCCTGAGGGCAACTTCAGTGACTGGCTGATCAAGTAATTTCCACCCTCAAGATTAATCTGGGGACCTCCAAGGTCTCTTATGCCTTGAATCAAATATCCTTTACTTGGTCCTTTAACTGCATCTGCTATGGCTTCAAGGAATGCTTCAGTGCTGTCTGAATTACCCGTTGGATCTGCACCATAAGATGTCACACTGTATACACGTGGCTTGTCCACATCCTGAATGACACAAAATATCAAACACTTGATATTTTCCCAGAAAAAAAAATGTACTAAGTATCCGTCTACATACAGGTTTAGAAATTTTTTTGAGAATTTCTCTACAAAAAAATAAAGAGTTTTATCCGGTAGAAGAACTCTCAAAGAACTCTTTTAAACTTGTATCTAAGCAGATTCGTGAGAAAGTATGTTCATAGTATTACCGGAGAGGGAGAAGGAGAAGGACTAAAGGAGGGTGATATAGAAGATGGTGCTGAAGCAATGGAATCATGTCTGGTTAGAGAGGTCTTAAATGACTGAAGTCTTCTTATTGCTTCGTGATAGTTGCCACTATAAATTGTCCTAGGAGGCAAAATCTCCTCATATGAACCAATTACAATGGAACAAGCCATCCCCAGAAACAAGGTCAAGACCAAAGATCTTGTTGCCATTGATGTTGGTGTTGGAGAGAGGTTTGAGGCACTGAGGTTAATGTGATCCTGTTGGGGAAAACCATTCTAGTTGTATGGCCATTTAAATAAGGTTAAGGGAAAGGCTAATGAGGGAGAGAAAGAACTGAAAGAAGGGTAATTAATAGGGAGACATGGAAAGAAGTGTGGGTAGCTAAGTTTTGATGAGAAAATGTGTAGGGACATTTTCATATTGGATCATACACATGACACCCCTTTGTCATTTGGACTATGATATTATTAGTGAAGGTTGTAGTTTAGTAGCCTTTTTCCTTGAAAGGTTTTCTCATTTTCCCTCACCTCACAGAAAAGTAAGCACTTACCAACTTCTTACTTTTGGGACCTTTTCTAGTTTGATGTTGTGCACAAGGTATTTTGGAATTGGAAGAAAGCACACCTGTACGTGATGATCTTAAATTATATTGTGGAATTATTGGGTAGAGGGGGTCCACCATACAAGTCCTGTGGAGACAAGGTTTATGAGTTTGGTTGATTCATCATGGTAAAATTGGGAAAAATAATAGTGTGTTAGGTATGTATTTATCGCTTAGAGTGTAAAATTAGGAAAAATAAGAAATGGCCATTGGCGGTCCATTAAACTTCAGCACATTTTCTAAAACTTGTGTCAATGGGGTAGAGAATGTAAATGGGTTACCAAGAAAGCAGGTTAAATGTTAGAAATTCAGCATTTCATTATTCATTAACATGAGAAACCCTACAAGGAACTTAACACTAAATCTAATTTAAAATTATTAATCTTGTGAGTCATTCTTATTTATATCAACTGTCATGTGTTCTATAATGTAGAAGTATATAAAACTTTTGAGTTCATAAAAAATTAAAGATTAACAAAGAAACAATTAAACATTCTTTACCAATTCCCAATATTAAACCATATCAGCATTCTCATTACCATGTTGGTTTTACGCGTGTATATATGATTTGTACATTGCTGAGGTGAGCATTAAGCACGTGTAGTGAGTTATATGCGACAAAGTATTTTTGACGTCAAGTATCACAGATTCACAATGCAGTTAACAACAACACAACCCCGAAATATCCGTATATGAAATTTAAACCATGTAAAAATGGTATCTTTCAGTGCAGCTATTTATTCTTTGAGACAATCAGATATATACACGAGATTTCCTATCATTTCTCTTTGAGACTCCGCCTAACATAATAACCAAATTGATACGTGCCTATCAATCATCAAACAAATACTGATTTGTCTACCAATCCTATAAAAAATTCATCAAATATCTCAGCAAGTACATTATTTACATGGCTATTAGTGGCGTGTAATAAATCAGATTAATTTTACTAAGCAGAGATCATTGCAAAAACCATTATTGGCGGTCCATTAATAAATTGGCCAACTTAAAAACCATTAATTCTTAATGACTTCCGTGTGATGAAGGGTATTTTGATGAATTAAGGTAAGACACCAACTTTCTGTACAAATTTGTGCTTACTGTCGTTAGCTCTTGATTGTGAAGTTGGTAGATTATACATATTAGAAGTGGTATATATATGTAGTATTTTTTTTCTTAAAAATCTAGGTGAGTTATTTTCGAAGTCCCACTAGGTCAAGACATACCTTAACACTAAGCAAGAGTTACATAATCAAATAGATTGGAATAGTTAAAAATTTGGAGATGTAAATTCAATCTCATTACGACCATTTTTACGACTATCTTTGTAATTATTTTTATCTCTTTATCACAAAAAATTTTACAATAATCAAAGTCATATTTTTTGGAATATGAATTCATTGATTAGCATCGATCTACACCAACCATGGATGAAGGAATTAAGATGTATGAAGCAGGGATATACCAATTTGCTCACCTTAACATAACAATAACATTCTTTTCCAAAATTTGACCGGTTATCACCGGTAAACATTCGGCTCCGTCTTTTACACGGTCATGGGATCGTTGTGGCTGCCGCCTGAAGAGTGCCGGCTCTAGGACTAACCGCCTCTATGCACTCAATTCTCACATTCTTTATATTATTTTATAAAATACATTCATTTTCTATTTTCTTTAACCAAAATTAAACATCGTATAAATATTTTGTATTAGTAACATATAATAATAATAAAAATTAGACGTTATGGGGCCGAATACCGTACTCGTGTCATGGTTGAAAATTGAGTATCAAACACAAGCATAACATGGACCTTTGTTACATGCATATTTTAATGAATGGTGAAAAATGATTACCAATAATTTTCAGCACGGCATCAACATTCAGAGAAACGCACTCGTGATGGCTAATTAGAATTGATTCAGAACTTCATTCTACATTTTTTATATACGTCATGCGATTCGTGGTCTAGAGGAAAATATGTAGTTTCTGTGTATGATCATAGAAGAGTTAACATGATGTGCTTAATCTTAGTGTATAGGTGAAAAATGACAAAGAGAAAGCATGAAGATTGTTTTCCTTAAATTTAGAGGACTGTTGCAAACAATCCGATCATGCTTTTGGGTACCTTTCGATTTAATTTGACGCAATGAGTTCTTTTGGAAGAGGCGTGAGACAGACCAAGTCTTAAAAACTTTGCAAATGTTTTTAATTAAGATGTTTCTTTGAAACCATTTTTTCTCTCTCTCTCGTGAATATGGGATTGGATATTCCCATCCAAAAGTGATACACGTTATTAATCTCCCAAGATATTAAAGTATATATTTAAGGGATTAATTAATATTTTTAGAATTGTTGAATACAACTACCATCATGTTTGGTTTTTCCATCAAACTTCTTCCTTCTCCTTTCTCATTTCTCTCATATTCTCCTTTACACATCTCATCTCACAAGGTTCGTTGGTGGGTAAGTAACCTGTGTCCTCCTTTCACATTTTAACAAAATCCTTTGTAGCACTCATTTCTATGAAAATATTTAAGTATGTTGTCTATTGCTTTTATTCTTTTTCTATAGTTTCCACATCTAATATTTGATTTCTTACTTCTCAACAGGTTTTCAAATATAGTTAATATCAAACAAGTTTTTTTTTTTCCTGATATGGTTCTTTAAACAATCTTTGTTGTTACTAGAGGAAATATTAATTCTCCACAAATTCTATAATAAAAAAATGTTTTATTTTGAATTGACTCCTAATGTGAATTTTTTTTTTATTAAAACAAATTTTTCATCAAGGTTAAAGAACAAATATCGTTTATTCTCTTATTTTAGTGTTAATATTCTAACTTCAAGTCATTTACATTGTTAATTAGAAGGTATTATTTGTTGTGATAATCAATGAGTTATTATCTTTATAAATTAGATATAAACCCGCGCGAATGAAAGAGAAATTATTTAAATTAAAAATATATTATTTTTTTAGTTAATATATAAATTTTATATATAATTTTTTTAATAATGTAATATAATTTTGTTATTGTTTATTTACAACAAATAAATTTATTATTCTTTGTAATAGGGTTTATAAAGAAAAAATATTGTTATAAATATCTTTGATATTTATATTTATATAATATTTCATCTTTTTTTTTTAGATTTAAATTCAAAAATATACAATTCAAGTAAATAATCTTTTAAAAAGTTCATAACTAAA